AAATCCCTTTATTAGGAAAATGGCAAATTTCTTTATTAATGCAAAGGTGACTTGGTTTATCGTTACTGTGACAAACGAAAACACTTTATTTGATGAATCCTTAAAGAAAATTTTAATTAATATCAATCAGGAGAAAAGTTATTGCAAAAATATATGTTGATCCCTAGACACTTTTGATGTGTGTACACTATTATCAAAACATCGATCAAAGTTACAACGAACTACAAGAACTTTATTATTTATTTATTTTTAGGGAAATAACAGCATTAATTTTCACATAAAAATATAACATTAAGTTTAAACAATTGCCTAGGTAATTTCCACTATTATTTATCTCACATAGTGTCTAATAAACATGAGAGAAAAAGAAACAATTTTGACATCATAATGAACATAAACAAAACAAAAAGAAATAAAAATGTTGTGCCTAAAACGAGTTACAAATTAGTTTCTTGAATTTCAAAGAATTAAGATTAAATATCTCAATGTGACTATATTTAGACTTGTATGATTTCATGGCTCGCACAATCAGAAATCAATATATCTTTATTCAAATTGGATGTATAGTTCAACACTTTTGAATCGTCCAAACATTTTTTTCCCTACCACTCGTTATTGGACATATTTTTTAGCTGCGGAGAAAAACGAGCGAAAAAAGCCCCACAACATTAAAAGCATAATGTAACAACATTTACAAATCATTATGTTGTTACAACGTCTATACAATCATGATTTATTTAATATAGAAAACCTGTTGGAATGATTGGAACAGTTCAAACCCAAGCATTTTTGTCTGTAATATAATCAGACACTTTGTAATAAGCTTTTTTAATAAGTGCTTTTTTTATACTATCTTTGAATTCATTTATGCTTAACTCTTGGATATTGCTTGGTACTTTATTGTATAAGCGAACATAAAGACCTTTAAATGAATTATTGATTTTGTGAAGCCTAGTAGCAGGTAAAGTTAGTTTATTTTTGTTCCTTGTATTAAGTGTGTGAACATCACTGTTTTTAAGAAACAAATTAATATTTTTTCTTGCAAGTAATACATTTTCGTTAATATATTGTGATGCGACCGTCATTATACCAAATTCTTTAAACATATCTCTTAAGGAATCCTTAACTTTAAGATTATTAATTGATCGAATAGCTCTCTTCTGCAGCACAAAAATAGTTTGCAGCACAATGTAGCGATTACTTGCATTGGCAGATATTATGTTACTTACTGCTACGGAACCCTTCATGGGTGAGTCCGACTCGCACTTGGCCGCTGTTTAGTTACCTTCAGTAAACATAATTAAAAGAGTGATTTGAGGAATGGCTTACGTGGCAAATTTTTTGCAAAGGGCAGTGTTCCATCACCCATTCAGTGCAAAATAAAAAGGGGTACCTTTGGGAGCTCTGATTAATAATGTTGCGTTCTTTTTGCAATAAAACACGTTAACCTGTTAAGTGACGTATTTCGCATTTTTGTTCATTGGTTTTGGTAACCGCGAGAGATTATTGTGGTTTATTTAATAAGCGTCGATGTCGTAGCGTCGTCTAAACGCCGTGCAGTAATAGACTACTTAGGCCACAAGTATCGTATACTATTTTATAGCAAGTGTGACATAAACCCGCCCCGGACGCGGGCAAGAGGGGTGCGATTAGTATTTTGAAAGTAAAATTCATGTATTGCAATCACAAAGAATTGCAATACAGACTGCAAGTCAAACTCTGAAAAGAAAGAATTCCGGTTCAGATTACCATTTTGAAAGTATATTTCAAAAGGAAAAAATCAAATATCATTACAACAAAATATAATTTCAATGTATCCATGAACGTTTATTCCTTGATTGGCATAGTAAAGTTAAGTTACGCGTATCGTAATGAATTAATTCTACATGAGTGAAGTTGGTCAATTCATTTGCACACCGTGCAGAAATAGGCAACTTAGGTCACGGAAAAGCGTGCGTAAAGTGCGGGTTTAGGTCACACTGTGCTATAAAGGAGTTTTTCATTGAATTGTAAATATGAACATTGTCTCATTGAAAAATCTCAAAACTTTATATAAATTAGTGATTTGATTACAAAAGCATTAATAATAATAAGTAGTAGTTAATATAAGAGGTTTGTATTTGTTTTTTAGGTAAAAGGTTTTCTTAAATTAATTGCTGGTCAAATTATTAACACATTAAAAAATGTGGTATATTTTTACTCAGTTTGAAAAGATTAAAAAATTATGCAACGCTTGGCTAATTACGAAATTATTTAACTCAACATATTTTCATCAGGTAAAATAGTAAGAATCCAAAATACTACGAACTTATTAAGATCTAGCACAGGATTTAAATATAAATTATAATCGGAACTGAACTAACTAACTATGATTCTCTAAACTTAAAATAAGTTTGACAACGATCTATCTCTCCTTTTCAATATATATATTATGTTTGATTGATTTCCAACATAAATTTAAAAGTTATATATTATATTTGTTTCTTAGGTTCTCACGCACATCACTCATTAAATAAAACTGAAAAGGCTGCGAAACGTCAATAAATAAATAAAGTTTCGTGCATTAACCCGTAAAAACTAGTTTTAATTAATATATTATTTATATGGCCACACAGGTCAATACATAATAATATTTTAGTGATGGCAACATCGCTCTCTTCCGTCCTGTGTCTCGTTGCGACTGCATGTGCAGTCCTTTGAAAATAAAATAAAACTAGCAAACCAGTGAACCAAATGTTCACCAAAACCTGATTAAAAAAAAAATGTACTTAATTAATTGAGAACTCCGGAGATTTTGTGTGGTTTCGTTTGAAATTCGTGATTTCTCGAAAACGTTACTCAAATCCGTCCGATCTCGAAGTGCTACGTTACTCAAATCCGGTTTGTAGTCTTATCAGACTATTCTTAACTTATAACTTAAATATTCTCTTTATCTATCTCTTAGGGTTTGGCCGCTGAAACAGTACCACAGACAGACAGACGGACGGACTTGTCTAATAGATAAGAGATTATTAAATCAACTTGCATTTTACTTGTACATATTATATTATATTTATATAATATATTCTATAGCATATTAAGTGTAAATGTGTTCTTTCCCACAGAAACACCCTTACTATTAAACAAGGAATAAGCTTAGACTTGTTACACCATGTTTTGTTCAAAAATGCCATTTGTAATTTAACGAACAGAAATAAAACAACAAGTACCGGGGTTTGGGTGAGACATATTTTTCCTGCCTTTTGCTGTAGAGATAATGGGTCCTTGGGGCTCTGCTGCAAAAGTATTTCTTAAGGATATGACTGCTCGCCTGTGCGAGGCTACGGGGGACCCAAGATCTGGTAGCTTTTTTGCTCAAAGAATTAGTTTGGCGATACAGCGAGGCAACGCTGCCAGTCTTCTAGGGACAGTGCCCCGCACAGGCGAACTCAATGAAATATTTAATTTGTAATTACATATTGTTGGAACGAAGTTCCTTACGGCAGGCTTGGAGGGGATAAGGAACGAACTGAAAAAAATGTGATAGTAAAACCGTAAGAAAAATACCGTGGAAAAAAGTGCGTGGAATAAAACCGTTAAATGAGACGTGCGCAGGCGCGACAGTCGCATACACAAGCGAGTAGTGTATAATACCTTTCTCTTTCTCCCTCTTTCTTCTCTCATCCCTTCTCTTTCTATTACCACTCCACCCCGCCAATGCATAGTATTTTTGCAATTTGTGTCGATTCTACATTAGCCGAAGGAACTTCGTTCCTACCTGGTGTCCCACGACACCACTTCATTTTTTTTCTGCCTTTTGTTTAAGCTTATTCTTATCGTTTATTAATAAGAGGGCATGAGTTAAAGTTTCCTTTAAAGTTTTCTCCTTAAAATTGTAAAATTTAATATTAGGTTTAGAGATTGACTTCAGACTCAAGTCTATATATATTTTTTATTTTCCGTGGAATTGTAAAGTAATAAATACTATCAATATAGTTTCCAATTATGAAAAGATTGTGCTGAAAATTGTATGAAACCATAACAATATTTGCGTAAACATATCAAAAATTTTAACAGAACCACAGATAGAATGATCATTTTTAACCACAATAAATGTAAAATGACGAAAGAAGAAATATGTAGTATATTTGTTTAAATAATATTTGATAAGGAACTGGAATAATTATAGTTCGTAACCTCAAAATATTACACTGCAAAAAATACAATTGTCTCTCTCAAACTCATATGTTAACGCATAAGGGGTGAATGGAATGCATGATAAGATTTTTACTTGACAAAACGGGAGAATTGGACAAGTTATTTTGATACTTTTCGAATAATATTACGTTCGAAAATGTTTAAGATAAAAAGAGTTTTATTTTTGTTTAAGTGATTATTTCCTTTTTATTCATTTTTAATTAAGACTTTCATTTTAATATAACTATCAAAAATTCATAAATGAATATATATATTTTTTTTTTGGGTAATTCAAGAAAGTATGTCAAACAGAAAAGTATAGAAGTTAAATTATATTTGGTTAAAAGTTTTGTTTAATTATTTATTTACTTTACCGGTAACTATTCTATTTCTTTATTTTAAATAACAAGGCTACCACTACTATACAAACATTTAACTGAATGGGGCCATTACTAAGAATTTCGCTTATTGCTAAGAGCCAATTTTCACCTTGTGGCTAGTGTTATAGAACAGACGTATTGTATATTTTTGCAGTTGGCTACATTGTAAGCGACGCACTAGCATGAATTCTAGCTTGTCGGTAAACTTGACATTCATATTGTAGTTTTAACAATAAAATTTCTAAAACGTTTTAGTACACTTTCATCTATCTCCAATACAACTTCTGAAATCAATGACATTTTAAACGACATAAAATTTTATAGAAAACACATAGTCATTGTACGCTTTCCGAGATTAAACTATCATGTGCTGACGATTCGTCAAACAACAAAACTCACTTTCGTTTTTAACTCCATCAAAATTCAAGTCTAAGTGCCAAGACAGTTAGGTCGGCGTAACGTGCGCGCGCGCCTTTTGAATCGTTAACGACGGGCGAAACTTTCGGTGCCTTATTCAGTCCACGACTGTCTTTCTACCAGGGCAGACGACAGGACGGCTATGGTCCAGTTCTGACTTTTTTACGAAAATATTTTTTTTCGACCAGAGTTTATATCGCACACTTGTGAAACTTTTTGCTTTGTGTTGTTTTTTTTTGCGTGCTATATTTGTTGGTGAACTTTCTTTGCGTGTGCTGACTGTGTGTTGTGGTGAAGGATCTATACATCCTAAGTGGGAAATTTATCTGGGAACTCAAAAATGGTAAGCAGTTAATAATACATTTAATTTAAAAAATATATTTATAATTTAATATTGTATTTATCCCACTTGTAAGCAGTATTTGGTGTATAAATCGGTTTTAAACATGAAAATTATCTAGATTTAAAATAAAACATCATAATAAAAGCTAGCTCTACAGAAAATAAAATATCGTCACAAAACAAAAGAGACACAGCACATTCTACCCCAGTAGCCGCCATTTCGCACATTTTCGAAATTCGAAAATCGCACCGCGAACGCTTCGATTGCCGTGCGCCGGCGCACAATGGATAAAAACGCACGGTTTCACCCGGTGAAAGTAGTCGACGAATAGAAATCGTTGCGAGCGTGTGACGCGACCGATCGATGGAAATTGGGAGCATGTTTGCATTACTAGATCCTTATTATAATCGAGTTCAATTTATACCATTTCGATCGATGGCATTGCACATGCTAGTGCATCTTGATTGACAACGTTTTCGATATTATAGAAACGAGAGGAGCACACAAAAAAAAACTGCTCGTTCGAAAACTTTGACCTTACGGAATATTTTACCTTTTATCGACATTTCAACTTTAATTTGAATCCTTTTTCCGTTCATTTAGTTTAAATTTAAATTTTATGTTTTTAAAAGTCAATTTGTATTCTGCTTCTCTTACGGGTGAAGTTATATCGATTCTAAATGCGTTGATTTGCATAAATTAAAAAAATATTAGAAGTGAAGTTGCAACAAATTCGAACTAGCAAACCTCTAATTTATTTGCTATATAAGGAACACCAAAGAACGTAACAAGTAATCGAAAATTTTACATTGAAAAAATTAAGCTTTTATTTATTGTGCCCATCAGTAAAGTACGTTTAAAAAACTTGGTACTTAGCACTTAAAAATCCAGTATGATTTCATTCGCGCACATTTTGTAACTAACTTTACTTATTTTTCCGAATAGCACTTAAGAGTGGACGCGAGCTGAGAGACTTTTGAGAAATAGGTACTTGAAAACTATTGCTGTCACGCATTGGAAAATACCATGCGATAGGGACAGCAGTAGTTAACGAAATGATGAAATTGCCTATAAAAATTGCAATATTCGAGGTCTGGCTCTCGACGATTTCCTCCTCGAAAATTAAACAAATAAAAAGGGAATTTTACCCTGAAAACATTTTTTTTTGAGAAACTTCACTGACGGTGATAATAATGACATTTTAATTCCTTAGTATAATAATACTTTCCTTTATTTATTTGTTTTTTTTATTTTTAATTTAAACATGCATCTTATTATTATTGCCTTTTTTTATTTTATAATATAATATTGCTATTACACCCTTTCCCCTTTTTTTGTTCTTATATACTTACGCCCACCCTCGCTTCGCTTCGGTATCTTATCCCCTTGGGGGTAGAAATGATCAAAATCCTTTCTTAGCGGATGCCTACGTCATAACATCTACCTGCATGCCAAATTTCAGTCCGATCCGTCCAGTGGTTTGCGCTGTTCGTTGATAGATCACTATGTCAGTCACTCAGTCACCTTTGAGTTTTATATATATAGATTTAATTTTCCGTCATGGGTTGCCTGGAAGATATTGCTATTAAGCAGTAAGGCCGCCCATTGTGTAATGTCTCTCTGTCAATGTAATCTAACTGTTATGTCCTTTGTGGTGTTAAACAATAAAGATTATTATTATTATTATTAATAATAATATTTATTTACTTTTATACCGTCACTTGTCTACTTGTATTAATAGTAGCAAAACATGTTTCATCTATTTCAGTACAGACGCCATTCAATACACAAACACCAAACTCGATTACCTTCAAACATTTCATACTGGATTGAATATACGTTTAGCTTATATCCGCAATGAAATCTAATAATTTTATCAGTATTGTTTTACGCTATCCTGCAAGGATTACATAAAAATTTAAAATATAGTGATTTCTATGGTAATCCTTTTTCATGTGTTTCAATTAAATTGAAAAACAAAAAGTAAGTAAATCAATAAGTTAAGAAAGTACACATCAAGTCACGATCACATAATTTCAAAATATTTGTTGCAACGGTGGTGAATCGAGCAGATCATACTATGTATATTTATGGATTGACGGCGGAAAGCGCAGATCGTTGTATATTGAAATCCCTCGAGGAAGCAGATGTCCAGCAGTGATTGTCCATCGTCTGATGATGATAAGAATACTGCACCAGTCAGGCGGATTGCATACTATGATGACTAAGTTAGAAACCCAAACACATGCATTTATAGCAACTTATTACCATCAAACTATCACGATACCTTTCAGAAGTAAAAGACGACTTAAAAAGTCTCCATGCAATCGTCTTTTCCATTATCTCTTACCTATTAGACAAGTCCGTCTGTCTGTGGTGCTGTTTTACCGGCCAAACCGTAAGAGATAGATAAAGAGAATATTTAAGTTATAAGTTAAGAATAGTCTGATAAGACTACAAACCGGATTTGAGTAACGTAGCACTTCCGGTTTTCGAGAAATCACGAATTTTAAACGAAACCACACAAAATCTCCGAAGTTCTCAATTAATTAAATACATTTTTTTTTAATCAGCTTTTGGTGAACATTTGGTTCACTGGTTTGCTAGTGTAAGTTAAACTGACAACCTATAACTATGGATCACTTTGGGTTCCTTTCACCTTAGAGTAAGATCCCAAGACTGCCAGAACTCACTTATTTTCTCATGGACGAAATATGGATTATCGTGGCACAAGAACGTCGGACTATTCGGAAACGGATACCGCCACATCACTCGCACTCCCGGTGCGCACTAGGAGGGACCGCGGTCCCTCATAATGCGCGCCGGGTGACCGGTGCAAGAGTATTGTCTAGTTTTTACGGTCGCCCTTGTGGCGGTCGCCTTTTTGGCGAGGTAGGGCCCCGCTTGCTTCTCGGAGCACTTGTGTTCCCTGAAGCGGCGGAGAGGAGTCCCCGATAGCTTTGCCCGCAACCCTCGGTTGGCGAAGTATGCGTAATGCATTTTCTAAGGCACAGGAACGTAAAATTTTTAATCACTTTACTTACAGTCTGGGGACCGATACCAGACACTTTAAATGTCGAAAGCAAAAACCACAAAAGTTACTTACACTCAGAGACCTGATATTTATCTATGATATTTAGGAAGCTATTATTATATTTTATAAATTGCCGGTCAAAACTTCGGGCCAAAAATTCCCTAAGCTTATTTGAACTGCCACTGTGAGGCGCGCTCGTGCTTATTAAGTGTCTTTTTAATACAGCTTCGTTAAAGTTATGTAATAAATAGGATACAGGAAGAGTTTTACAATAATTAAATAACTTCTTGTTATTAGATTATCAAAATTATTTCTGACAATAAGCATGTTCGTGTTTTTTGCTTTCGACATTAAAAGTGTCTGGCAATAAATACTGCGAACAGAATGTGTCAGGCAGTATTAATTTCAAATTGTTAACAATATTCTCTTCAACATACGTAATAATCAGTCCCCAGACTGTAAGTAAAGTGAGTAAAATTTTTACGTGCCTGTGCCACCTAAAAATTGGACCTAAGCACCAGTTAGCGAGTATGTATACGTTCGTTGTACACATTAATACTACTCGATAATCCATATTTCGTCCATGAGAAAATAAGTGACGTCTGGCAGTCCTGGGATCCTGTACTATCTGTTATTTAGTTCAACCTTATTTTCTTGATTTTTAAACAAAAGATCCCCTTCCGTATGAAAAAAAGGAGTGTGCTTATGACCACACGATTACATGTATATTTATATACATGTATATATTTTTACATACGTATATATATATATTCTACATATATATATCTTTATATATATAATTCTTCTGTGAGTGTGTATGTCACTGAACTTCTCTTAAACGACTGGACCGATTTTGATGAAATTTTTGTGTGTGTTCAAGGGGATCTGAGAATGGTTTAGATTCACAATTTTGTCCGCTGGACAACCCCTATTTTTTTAGGGCGGTACGAAGTTCGCTGGGTCAGCTAGTGTATATATATAATTGTTTGTCCATTTTCTCTTAATCAGCCGATGGACGTCCATTGCCCGATATGCCTCCTCTAGGGATCCAAAAACAATGGTCGTGCGCTTTCCTCATCCAGTGGGTTTCCCTGACTTACTTTATAAGGTCTTTAAATTACATACTTTTAAAGCCATCAAATACACGACAGAACGGAGTTTACAACACACAACAAGGTTAAATTACATACTTTTAAAGCCATCAAATACACGACAGAACGGAGTTTACAACACACAACAAGTTTTTTTTTTTATTTAGCCATGTAGGCAAATAACTCTACCCCATCTGATGCTAAGCGGTGATAAAATCCAAACGCGAACATAGCTGGTACAGCATTTATAAATGTTGAATTCAAGAGTAATCCCTCTGTTGACAATGGTTAGTAGCTAGACTGCAGGCCCAATCGTGTCTCCTTGCAGTGTAACCTTAGCTTTACGTTTTATGAATATAGATTTACTCTTTGCATAGAAACTAGCTCAAGAGCGTACTTTCTCCATTTCTCACGCGGTTTTGGTAACAAAAGATCACGTACAGCATAACAATGGCTATAACTAATTATATGTTCCCCGTACTCAGTATTTTTGAAGCCGTAAGAAACCACTTGGATAACAATATCGTTAGGCGACTACTAATTTTGGGTGGAACCTTGACATTTTGTTATATCATTTTTGTTATTCTGCGTTGCACGAATCTGTGTTTCGATATGCAGAAACGAGCTTTAGGTATGTTTTTAGTGTGTTGTAATAAATTGTGATGTTCGTGTTGCACGTGTTTTCAATCTTTCAAAATTTTTGTTAATGCATGAGGTAGTTTTTAATCTTTAGGATTGATAAGTGTTCTGTCCTCGTTTCGCTCAAGTTAAGGCTATAATTTATGTTCTTTAGCTTCTGTTGTTAAAATAATATGAACTTTCCGTGTAAATTTATTTAGATAATTGATGACGAAAAACACATGAAAATCAGATCA